AACAAGGGGCAGGCTTGTTTTTGAGGCTGGGTTTATCACTGGTACACATTTCTGTTGAGGACTTGAGTAAGTCTACAGTGTACCTGTATGACATGATGTTTACCTGTGATTCATTGAGTCTCGCAGCCTGTACAACAGATATCTGTGTGAGATTTTCCCAGGGAGATAGTTTTTACCTCCTGATCTGATTGACAATTGATTTTTATCCTGTTGTGATCAGTGTTGTGTATCCCAGTATAATCAGTGCAATGTCTAGGATAATAGGACTTAATGTTAAAATTTTTAAAACCAGCATAGAAGAGTAATTTGGATTTTGAATGTTCATTTATAATAAGTTGGATAACAATGGACATAATTATGCTGTTTTTAATTATGGTAGGAACTATAACAGGTCAAACAGGTATGACCCGATAATGTCTGTTAAAATTAAAAAGCTACATTTCTGGAAAGTTTTCTTGGATATATGTTATTGTCATTTAAAGGCCTCCATAATATCGTGAGAACAAATTATTGACAGATTAAGTGAGGTGTGAGAATAGCGCAGAAATTTACAAATACAAATTTATAACAATGAAATATAACAATGAACTTGAGCAACACTGTTTAACAGCAGAGACATCAAAGATAGTTATTCTAAAATTCTGTGTAATAACATCACAGTCATCAAGTTGTATGTTACCTTGTTTGAGATTATTTTTATCACTTTATCTTAACCTTGATCAAAACATGTGAAACTTTCACTTTTTGTGAATAATTAGAGTAGAAAAATCAATAGCCATGCACTGTGACCTTAAAATAAACAACATTTATAGAACAAAACCAGTTGCCCCTGTCACTGAGAGTAGAACCAGGGTTCAAATGCTTCGATAAGCTCTAGTTCAACGGGGTCTCGTATACGTAGTTTTATGATATATATCAGTAACAGTATATAATCTGGTAGTGATATTTCAGTAACAGTATATAATCTGGTGGTGATATTTCAGTAACAGTATATAATCTGGTGGTGATATTTCAGTAACAGTGTATAATCTGGTAGTGATATTTCAGTCACATTGTATAATCTGGTAGTGATATTTCAGTAACATTATATAATCTGGTAGTGATATATCAGTAACAGTGTATAGTCTGGTAGTGATATATCAGTAACAGTATATAATCTGGTGGTGATATGTCAGTAACAGTGTATAATCTGGTAGTGATATTTCAGTCACATTGTATAATCTGGTAGTGATATTTCAGTAACAGTTTATAATCTGGTAGTGATATTTCAGTAACAGTTTATAATCTGGTAGTGATATTTCAGTAACAGTGTATAATCTGGTGGTGATATTTCAGATGTTACCTTGTTTGAGATTATTTTTATCACTTTATCTTAACCTTGATCAAAACATGTGAAACTTTCACTTTTTGTGAATAATTAGAGTAGAAGAATCAATAGCCATGCACTGTGACCTTAAAATAAACAACATTTATAGAACAAAACCAGTTGCCCCTGTCACTGAGAGTAGAACCAGGGTTCAAATGCTTTGATAAGCTCTAGTTCAACGGGGTCTCGTATACGTAGTTTTATGATATATATCAGTAACAGTATATAATCTGGTAGTGATATTTCAGTAACAGTATATAATCTGGTGGTGATATTCCAGTAACAGTATATAATCTGGTGGTGATATTTCAGTAACAGTGTATAATCTGGTGGTGATATTTCAGTAACAGTGTATAATCTGGTAGTGATATTTCAGTCACATTGTATAATCTGGTAGTGATATTTCAGTAACAGTGTATAATCTGGTGGGGATATATCAGTAACAGTATATAATCTGGTAGTGATATATCAGTAACAGTATATAATCTGGTGGTGATATATCAGTAACAGTATATAATCTGGTGGTGATATGTCAGTAACAGTGTATAATCTGGTAGTGATATTTCAGTAACAGTGTATAATCTGGTGGTGATATTTCAGATGTTACCTTGTTTGAGATTATTTTTATCACTTTATCTTAACCTTGATCAAAACATGTGAAACTTTCACTTTTTGTGAATAATTAGAGTAGAAAAATCAATAGCCATGCACTGTGACCTTAAAATAAACAACATTTATAGAACAAAACCAGTTGCCCCTGTCACTGAGAGTAGAACCAGGGTTCAAATGCTTCGATAAGCTCTAGTTCAACGGGGTCTCGTATACGTAGTTTTATGATATATATCAGTAACAGTGTATAATCTGGTAGTGATATTTCAGTAACAGTGTATAATCTGGTGGTGATATTTCAGATGTTACCTTGTTTGAGATTATTTTTATCACTTTATCTTAACCTTGATCAAAACATGTGAAACTTTCACTTTTTGTGAATAATTAGAGTAGAAGAATCAATAGCCATGCACTGTGACCTTAAAATAAACAACATTTATAGAACAAAACCAGTTGCCCCTGTCACTGAGAATAGAACCAGGGTTCAAATGCTTCGATAAGCTCTAGTTCAACGGGGTCTCGTATACGTAGTTTTATGATATATATCAGTAACAGTGTATAATCTGGTAGTGATATTTCAGTAACAGTGTATAATCTGGTGGTGATATTTCAGTAACAGTGTATAATCTGGTAGTGATATTTCAGTCACATTGTATAATCTGGTAGTGATATTTCAGTAACAGTGTATAATCTGGTGGTGATATTTCAGTAACAGTATATAATCTGGTGGTGATATATCAGTAACAGTATATGATCTGGTAGTGATATTACAGTAACAGTATATAATCTGGTGGTGATATTTCAGTAACAGTATATAATCTGGTAGTGATATTTCAGTAACAGTGTATAATCTGGTGGTGATATTTCAGATGTTACCTTGTTTGAGATTATTTTTATCACTTTATCTTAACCTTGATCAAAACATGTGAAACTTTCACTTTTTGTGAATAATTAGAGTAGAAGAATCAATAGCCATGCACTGTGACCTTAAAATAAACAACATTTATAGAACAAAACCAGTTGCCCCTGTCACTGAGAATAGAACCAGGGTTCAAATGCTTCGATAAGCTCTAGTTCAACGGGGTCTCGTATACGTAGTTTTATGATATATATCAGTAACAGTGTATAATCTGGTAGTGATATTTCAGTCACATTGTATAATCTGGTAGTGATATTTCAGTAACAGTGTATAATCTGGTGGTGATATTTCAGTAACAGTGTATAATCTGGTGGGGATATATCAGTAACAGTATATAATCTAGTAGTGATATTTCAGTAATAGTATATAATCTGGTGGTGATATTTCAGTAACAGTATATAATCTGGTAGTTTTATGGTATTTCAGTAACAGTATATTATCTGGTAGTGATATTTCACTAACAGTATATAATCTGGTAGTTTTATGATATTTCAGTAACAGTATATAATCTGGTAGTTTTATGGTATTTCAGTAACAGTATATAATCTGGTAGTTTTATGATATTTCAGTGACAGTAGATAATCTGGTAGTCTTATGATATTTCAGTAACAGTATATAATCTGGTAGTGATATTTCACTAACAGTATATAATCTGGTAGTGATATTTCAGTAACAGTGTATAATCTGGTAGTGATATTTCAGTAACAGTATATAATCTGGTAGTGATATATCAGTAACAGTGTATAGTCTGGTAGTGATATATCAGTAACAGTATATAATATGGTAGTGATATTTCAGTAACAGTATATAATCTGGTAGTGATATTTCAGTAACAGCTATAATCTGGTAGTGATATTTCAGTAACATTATATAATCTGGTAGTGATATTTCAGTAATAGTATATAATCTGGTGGTGATATTTCAGTAACAGTGTATAATGGGTGTATTGTAACAGATGAGAGATTTCCCTGTTATGGAGGTCAGTGACAACACTGTTTACATGCTATAACATAAGGTTTGTTTCTATCCAAGCTCTACATTTGTTTGTTATTTATCGGTATAGATACCTCCTGGCTGACTTCACTAAACCTAAAAATACAACTTATCATGGAGCTGGTACACTTTTATCTGAGCTCTGGGTGATAGGCTGTCCTGAACCAGCAGTTGGAACAATTCCTGCTTTGAAAAAAAAAGTTTTAAGAAAAACACTTTCTTTTGGCTAGCTCAACTTTTCTATATAAATATATATATGTATATACAAAAAGCAAAAATATGAAGAGTTGGTTTTGCTATTTTAAGTATTTTGAGACTAAGGAACATTTCTAAATGGAAACATGCCAACTTACAACAGAAATCAAATTGTCTGGACTAACAAGGTCTATTGTAATAAACAGACATCAAATTGTCTGGACTAACAAGGTCCATTGTAAACAGACATCAAATTGTCTGGACTATCAAGGTCTATTGTAAACAGACATCAAAATACATAAACCAGGGATTGTTACCAAAGTGTTCAGGCTAGAATGATTTCACTGTACAGGTATTGAGTTTAAACAAATTTTTTATATTGTAAAATTTTACTAAAAATATTAAAAAAAAAAAATTTCTCAGGAAAAAAACAACAATTTCCAGTCATTGATATGAATATGACAAATACAGCATGTAGTTTAAATATAAATCAGTCTGAATTACTTCTAAGTAACATAAAAGGTATACTAAAATCTCTGAAAGTGTGGAACTTTTTTACTTTTAAATAAGAGATAAATGTCACATGTAGGGAGTATAGATTCTTAATTTTCCTTGTAACCAATAGTAACCAATTAAAATAATGTACAGCTTTCTTTGTGCAGAACTCTTTTTAAAATGAAGGTGCATTTTATCTTAATGTAGCACCTATCCTTAAGAGTCTGCAGATAACCAAACTCTAATAGTAATAACTAAAGCCGTCTGTAGAAACCATCTATCTGTAGATAACAAGTCCACCTACATTCCCAGTAGCAGAGTTCTCTCTACAGACTCGAGACTCTTGTGCACTGTATCACATTCCGTAACGTTGGATGCACATTGGATGCATGTCAAGAACGATTCAATATGATTCACGTTTCTGTCATAACATTGTACGGGGAGTGTGTTGATGGATGAAGATCTTCCCTCCACGGTAATAGTTCTTTAGCTTAACGGCCTCCCTCGCCGAGTGATTGGTGCAAAAAACAGTTTCTCTTTGATACACTGTCCCGATCAGGAAATAGGATTATAAAAAAATACACTTCCTTTGAGAAAGTTAAAAAAAATCTACAAAAAAACTTTTTGTGAGATAAGTTTCGGTGATACTATCTTGCAGACATGGAAGTACAGTGTTACATGTTCTAGACATGCAGTGTTATGATAGATGGAATTAGCATAATTTTGGTTTTCCTGTAGGGAAAAATTCAGTTTCTAAGTGGATTTTTATTGGATGGTTTCATTGGAATATGAACAGCTCTAACCTACGAAGTAGAATTCAGTTTACAAAGAGACAAAAGGATATTAATATTCTATTTACTTTTCAAGCAGTGGCAACATCAAAGGACAGAAAACAATAGACTTGTTTACGAACAAGGATTCATTTTAAGATAGAATTGATCCCATTTAAGCTGGATATTTGCACAGCTTTAATTGAGTTGTTCTGTAAAGAACATTTTATGATCATTGTGATTTTATCATTCATGAAAATACTCGAATATGAAATTATGATATTTATGACTGATGGAGTATCCTCTGAAGTGTGGTAATATTTGAATCGCGTCTCCAATCAACCGGATTCAGTGTGAGAGAAAATTGGTGGGAGAACTATTTCACAGTGTATGTGTGTTCCACAGTAGCTTTTAGCAGCTAGGCTGAGTAGTGTGTTATACAGACCTACACCGTAGTCTACTGGAGTACACAGACAGACAACACATGTGCTGTGACAGACCTGGCTGTCTACTAAACAGTTACACTATAGCAGCTAGCTTTCGAGAGTTGCATACGTTACTACTGCAAGCTAAAACATTTCGGATAAAAAAACAGAATTCGGGAAGCAGTGCACTTGTGGAGTTTATCAAAACTTAACACAGGATTTAACTGTCAGGAAATCCATCTCTGGTTTGTACTCGTTTTTTCGCTGAGGAATGTGTTATATCTGTATGATGTAAACTCTGGGGTGGAACATTTCTGAACACTAAATATTTTCGTATGCTTTATATAACTGTTGGATCGGGAGATATCTACATATAAACACTAACTGTCGTACCATTTTTCGATACATGATTCACTGTGAGGATTTATCATTTGATTCTCTGTCTGTGTTTCGATCCCAGTTATCTAAAAACTGACACTACAACTGTGATACATAATGGGGTGTACTCTCGGAGCGCAGAAAGTTGCAAAGGCTGAGGCCAAAAAGGAAGGAAAACCCATCAAAAATAAGGACAAAAATGGCTCTAACCAAGATTTACAAACAAACAAGGTCACAGAAACTCCAGATGAAACTGTAAAGGTAATTAATGGTGAACAAGAGGGAGGGAAGGAAACAGAAAATAATGAAACTGGTGATGTAACTGATAGACAAGTTGTTTCAACACAAGTGAAAGACCCGGAAGAAGAGGGTGCTACAAAGTTTATGGACAATGCACAAGAAAATACAGTCCCAGATGAGGACTGTCAGAAAAATGACGGCCCTTCTGTGGCTGTCATAAATGGTTCAGAGGCTGAACAAGTTTCTTCAGAAAATACAGATACTCCAAAGGTAGAGAGTCAGAAAGAAGAAAGTTTAGGAGAAATAGGATCAACGACTTGTCAAAAAGTTGCAGCGGACACTGAAACTCCAATAAGTACTACGGAGGTTCAGAGTTCAGAGGGACAAAAAGAGGATAGAATTGAAACCATTCCAGCTGTAAGTGAAAAATCTGAGGAAGTAACACCGTCAGAACCTCCTGTAGATGTGCAACAAGCTGTTGGTGTAGTGCAGCAAGTTGTAGAAAAACAAGAAGAAGCCACAGAGGACCAGCAAGAACCTGTTGTAGCCACAGAGGGTCAGCAAGAACCTGTTGTGGCCACAGAGGGTCAGCAAGAACCTGTTGTGGCCACAGAGGGCCAGCAAGAACCTGTTGTGGCCACAGAGGGCCAGCAAGAACCTGTTGTGGCGACAGAGGGTCAGCAAGAACCTGTGGTGGCCACAGAGGGTCAGCAAGAACTTGTTGTGGCCACAGAGGGTCAGCAAGAACCTGTTGTGGCCACAGAGAAACAAACCATAACAATTACAGCTGTGGAGCAGTCAGAAACAACTGAAGCTTTGGAGGAGAAGGAACCTGTTGTAGATGTAGAAGAGGAACAACAAGTTCCAGTTGTGAATGTGGAAGAGAAACCACAAGAACCTGTTGTAACTACAGAGGAGAAACAACCAGTATCAATTGTAGCTGTAGAGGTCAAACAACAAGAAACACCAGTTGTAAGTACAGAGGAACAACATGAATTGGTTGTAACTACAGAAGAGAAAAAACAAGAAACAGTTGAAACTACAGGGGAGGAACAACAAGTGCCTGTTGTAAATGTAGAGGAGAAAAGGCAAGAACCAGTTGTAACTATAGAGGAGAAACAACCAGTATTAATCGTAGCTGTAGAGCAGAAACAAGAAGCATCAGTTGTAAGTTCGGAGGAACAACACGAAACTGTAGCCGATCAGCAAGAAATTGTTGCAGATGTACAAGAACCAAACATAAATGGGCCTAAGGTTTCAATACAAGAGATAGCGCAAGAGGTTGTTCAAAGCAATGTTCAACCTGTCGCTGATGAATCAAGTCTGCTGGTAGAAACACAGGTAGAGGAAACGAAAGAAGAGATTGTTGAAAACACTTCAGAAAATGTACCTGAAGAAAAGCAATCTCCTGTAGAAGAACCTGTAGGTGAGGACATGGAGGCCTCAGCTAAAGAGGCAGAAGAACCTGTAGAGTTTAAACCTTCAACTGAGGTTGTGGAACTGGAGCAAGTCCCAGCACAGGAGCCAGACAATGTGGAAGACAATAGTACTGAGGTTGTCAAAACTGAAGAAAAAGAAACAGAAGAGACAGATTCATCTGTGGATGCTTCCCCAGCACTGGCAGGAAACATCAGTGATGTACCTAATGAGGAGGATGTAATAGACAAAGAATCCGCTGTAGCAGAAGAAACTAAAAAGGAACAAAGTCAACCTGATATTTCGCTAAATGATACTGATGCTGGCTCATCTGTTGATGCAGCTCCTCACGCACTTCAAACTGAGGACAAAGATTGTGAATCATCAGTTGATGCCTTGCCTCCACCTCCTTTGCAGGAAGCAGAAGAAATCAAACCTGAACAGGAGAATGAAAACTCCCAGCAAGAAGATATTGAAGCAGCAGTCAAAACTGAATCATCAGTTGATGCGCTGCCAGAATCACAAGTAGATGAAATTAAAGAAGGAGAAAATACTGATGAAGTACCACCACCTGCTGCTCCTGTGACAGCTGAAGAAACAACGGAGGAAGTTTCAGAAACAAAAGAAGAGGTGATTGAATCATCTGTTGATGCTGCTGCCCCTCCTCCTCAAGATGATTTGCAAAAAAAACAAGATGAAGTAATAAAAATTGAAACAACTGAGGACGTTTGTGAATCATCAGTAGATGCTCTACCACCTCCTCCACAAGAGGAGGAAGTGGCTTCAGAAACAAAACTGGAAGACACAGAACAAGCCAAGGAAACATCCAAGGAAACTGTAGTAGTTGAATCTGCTGTTGATTCTCTTCCGCCTCCACCGCCATCTCCTCCACAAGAGCAGGAAACAGAGGCCGAGGAAGGAACATCGATAGAGGAGGCTGACACACTGCCTCCTCCACCACCTTCACCCGTGGAAACAAAACCTGAAGAACAAACTGAAGAAGTGTTAGATTCTGTTCCTCCAGAGGTTGAAACAGAAAGTGAAGCAACAGAACCAACAGATTTGCCAGCAGAATCCTCTGTTGACAGCCTTCCACCTCCACCTCCACCACCTCAAGAAGAAGTGTCATCAGAGGCAGAGGAGGGTGCAGGGTCTCCAGTAGATCCGGCAGTCTCAGATGAATCACAAGTAGCTCAAGCTTCACCAGCGGTATCTGGGGAGTCACAAGCCCCTCAGTCACAAGAGGCTGAAGGGACAGGAGTCCATGAGGAACAGAACAATGCCACAGCATGTGATAAGAACGAAGTAAAGACAGAGGTTATTCCGAATGGTGAGGAAGTTTCGAAGGAGGACATCCCAGAATGCAACTCCATAGAAAGTGATGGGGAAGTGGAGAACAACTTGGATGATGAAGTTGAGCTTGATGGAGAGGTAGGTGAAGATGAGGTTGTTGTGGAACCTTCTAACAAGGATGAACAGAGTGTCAGTGACATTACCAAACCAGTGCCAAGCGAAGGGAGTGGTAAAACGGTGGTAGACAAACCACTGGCTAATGGTGACCATTCTGAGAAGGAAGAATCTCAGTGCGTGCCAGCCCAAGAGGCACAATAATTGGAGTATTTCTTTTATATGATTGTTGATATTTTGTAAGAAAAGTGAAAAAAACGTGGAAGTGCTACCATTGTCAAACAATGACCATTCTTAGAAGGAAAATTCTCAGTCTGAGTGTGTGCTGGCCCCCTATGTTACAATAATTGGGATTAATGTTTTTACTGATTTTGAAAGGAAACAATCAAATCTATTGAATAGATTACAAACAATATGATGAAGTGGTGACAGCCAATGTGCTTTTTAGTTTATATGTATAGGATACTTTCATGATACTTATAGCAATTCTTCAAAGTGCTTATAAAGTGACAGAATTAAACTAGAAGGATAACTACATCTAGACAGAGATACGGAGGAAGGTGAAATGGATTACCTGTGTTCAGTGCTATTAACTTTGATTATAATAGAATTACAAGGCTTTAACCGTGTAAAGGTGACTTATTAAGCGCAAGGATAACAATTATCAGTCTCAGAAACTAAAACTAACCAAGGAACACAGAAATATGCAACCAACACAGCTGAATGAGAAAGTTTAACTTAAGGAATTAAATACAAAAATTGATGTGTGGTATTTGATCTTTAGGACTTGGTTATATCAAAATTAATTCTAATTTATTTGAGATGTAACACAACATTTGATTGGTCAATCAACATAATTTGCAACAGTATAAACACGACATATCGTCCACAAATTTCAAAATACAGTAGGGTTACTGTTAGATTCTCCGACATTGTAGGATCCCAGTAACACACTGTCAAAAACAGTCAATATTCAATGAAAACTGAATTTTTAGACATGACTATATCATTGATAAATTATAATTTTTGAAAATAAAACTATACCTTGTGGAACTTTTATGAAAAATGTTACAGAGATGAAATAAATCAAACAATCACCACCAAAAGCTGTCTGAATTGACAAGGTTTCTACACACTGATGGTGCTCTCCATGCACTGGGAGTTTTGTGTTAGCCTTCTGCTGTTTTTGGCACCCTTACAAGAGGACGGCTAATTCAACAAAAGGTAGATAATTGTGTATGAAAATCTTTAAATTGGCAAAGAGCTTGCACTGAGTATGATTTTGTGGAAGACCAAGTGGAGAGCCAGTTGAATGCTATACAAAACAACATAAATCTAAATATGATTGGAAGGAAAGTATAAAAAATTAATATTTTTTTTCATGTATAAAAGAACCAGTTGAAAATTTGTTTTCAAGTGATGTAGTCTTTTTATAGAAATCCACATCAGCTTGCCTTTTTATACAGAAATCCATGTTTGACATCAGACAGACTATGATGTTATATCAGTGTATGCCTTGATAATCAAGTTGTGTGCTATTTTTACTTTCACACATCACACATGTAAAATGTCATAGAGAATGATTTTAAACATGGAGCTAGCTTTGTTTTGTAGTGTAAATTTCATGTTTGTAATGTAACCTTTTGACACTTACTTTATTATATCTGTCACATTGATAGTTGGAGTGGTTTATATTCATATTTCCATGAGGATGATTCTATTTCATTATGATTACCGAAGTGCTCTTTATATCAGGGTTGGGTTGTGTCAGCTAGATTAACCAAACAGGTGGCTACCAATTTTAATATTTTTTTTAAGAAATGTTGCAAATAAACAGCATAAAAAGAATCATAAAGTTGATCTAAAAAATAACAGAAATCTTTGTAAAATTTAAAAGAAAAAAATGAATAATTACAAATATTTTGCTGGGAAAGCTGACATAGCTTAATTTATAAAGCTTTGTTAGCTTACTAAAATAATAACTTGTTCACCCCTGAAGGCACATTTGAACCCTTCCAATTGAAAGGCTGGATTATTTCATTTTGAAAGTTTAGGGGTGAATGAGTTAATGTTACATTTTAATCAATACAATATTTTCTTAATTATCAATATAAAAATAACAAAATAGGCATATTCTGGTATTTAAAATGTCCGCTGTCACAGATATTTCCACTTAAGTAATCATACATGTATTTCTGCAGAAAAAACCCAACCAATTTGAACACTTGACATGAAATGTCATAGTGCAATGAAAGCTAATTGGTACATTACTTGTCCCTGGTGAAAATTTCCGGTGAATTTACTGCTGTGCTTTTACATATATTATAAAGATGCATATTGCTTAAATTTGACATAGTCTTGTTTAAATGTTACCATTTCTGGGGTTTTTTCTGACAGAATTGTAGGTTTAAACAGCTGTTTGAATAGATATAAACAGTATTTATTGTACAACAGTTGCAGCTGTATAGTGTAATGTAATAGTAGTATGACAGTAGTATGACATACTGTACTTATAATTAGAGAGAACAACATTTTACACAAAAAAAACCAGAAATGGCAACGTGATGGGGAGGAAGGACTGTAGTGTACAAAGTATATATCAGCTTTTGATTGTGTAGAATGAAGTGTTTCAGGAGAGCAGTGTGGTGTGAAGTTGTGAGAGGGAAAGCGTGGCATGTAAATTAATCAGTCGAGGATACTGTAATATTTAGGTTTATTATCACGGTGCTATCAAACATTCGTCCTGTTGCCGTAACTTCTCTCAGTTCCTGTAGTTTTATAGGAAAAGTATCTGTCATACAGCTTAATACACAGTATTTATCAAATATGGACGTTTGTCGAGGTCCATATATTGTTATATTAACCTGATAGAGTGATTCGACTGGGGACACAGTCCAAGGTCAATATTACTGAATCAGGTCATATATTGTTATATTAACCTGATAGAGTGATTCGACTGGAGACACAGTCCAAGGTCAATATTACTGAATCAAATAACAATATATTAACCAAGACAAAAGTCCTTGATTTTTATATTACATATCATATCTTTAGATACCAGGAGATTTTGGATATCAAAATAGAATCAGGGGATGGTTTTGGGAATGAAATTTGGATCTAAATTTAGAAACATGAGGTTAATATGGTCATAAGAATCAAGGAACCAGACCATATGTAATATTTTGGTATATATATTACACTTAGGTTGATTATTTTAGCCAGAAAATGAATCTAATGTTAAGACTTCTATGTACAAAAAAAATCATTGCCAGTGGTTTATCAGAATGTGTGATGGAAATTTCTACAGAATGTAATTTTGATTACTAGACTGATTTTGTTCTACTACATATAGGACTCTATGTAATTTGTAATTCTTCTGCATAATGTTACTTTGGATTGCTGCAATTTTTCCAAAATCTTGATTGGAACCCAAATATTCTATAAATAAAAAAAATTATATGGGATTTTGAAGAAATGATAAAAAAATAAAAATACGTAGAAGCCTGAAGGATAAAACTAGGTATATTGCAGTGTATCATTGCCTTATATTATTCTCAAACAGTTTCAGTATATTAAAGTTGTAAATTCTTGACTTATTTATCGTTAGATTTGTATCTGAGCAGAATCTATCTCTAAGTACAATTGTATCACTAGAAAGTCTTGGAATATAACACAAAGTAGCTTCATAAAATAATTTTCATCAGAGTTTCTTATTTGATTGATACATACAATGTATATCTGAAACTGATTTATCCTATAGTTGTTTCAGGTAGCTTTTATCAAAATCAAAAAATGTAGAAAATCTTGCAGGGTTTCTTATACATTTGTAAAAAAAAAATTACAAATTGTTGGAGCTTACAAGAGTCTCGAACATTTGTATGTGTGTTTCGTAAGATGTTGTGGACAGCATACACAAACTCCAGAGACATCAGTCTAGTTATGTTTCTGAGGGGGATCTTCTGGGGTTTTACAGTCTAGTCGGGCTCCCATCCAAGCAATGCAATACTCCCAGCCAACTTTAATTATCATACTAGATAGCTATAACTATTTCACCACCTCGGTCTAGTTTCTTTTCTCCACCACAGAGATTTTATTCTAAAATTCGTTTTTATCGTTATTATAAATTTTCTGAAACAAACTTTTATATTTCCTAGCGTATATATCAATGTTGCTGTATGAGGCTGGAATGATATATCATCCTAGTTATAACCAGGACAGCTGTGACAGATACTCCGATCATTACAATAGTACTCAGTATATCTCAGAACAATAATAATGCACGTAGATTTGTTTCATGTTAAAATATTGGTTGCCATGCTATCAATCTTATCTAGATTAAATCTAAAACAGAATAATAGCTGTTGCCATGAAATTGTATATAAATGTATCTGAGTTGATTCACAAACAGATTATTTATAAAATTCTACTCAGAGTAGGTGATGATGCTCCTAATACAAGTTCATCATCATCGTTTACCTAGTTCTGTAAAAAATACTTTTGGAAAAAATCTGATTCCTGTCTGTTATATATACATAAGTAATCACTCTGTGTAATTTATCTACCCGGTATATGCTCTAAGAATTTGTGAATTCTTAAAGATATGAAATTATGAAATCGTGAGTATTTTGAAAAAGCGATATGTTATAATACTTTCAAGTCCAGTTCTCCGCTTCATTCTTTAGTGTTCCTCCAACCCTTTTTCTGACTTGTCTTTTACACTTGTATTATCAGAATCCATTTTATTTGCTACAACTGCATTTACTTTGCAATTTTGTACAAATTTAAAATAATCTTTCTCTAATTGCATTAATTATCAGAATAACTAAGGTGTATGCTTAATATTTCAGTAAGTGTTTGTCAATTTTGATACCATGTTTTCAAGAGGTAAACAATTCTGCCAGAAGAGAGAGTGTGCTATTTGAATAAGCTTGACAGAGTTATTTCCCCTGCCCAAAGGGTGTGTAGCTTTGGAGTTTGCTTTGTACTGGTGATGTATAGCATACCTAACACATGATTTTTGTAAATGTACAAAACAAAAGTTATCAAGACTTTGAAATGTTGAAAAGCCATTCAAATTGTAACTTTTTGTTTTGCTTAAGTGTGCAAATTTTAGTAATATATACATATATATTAAATTATCAGAATTGTAACAGGAAATTGTAATTTAATTACAAAATATATATAATTTATTTTATATTCTCATGTTTCATCTTTTCATACACCTATTATTAACATAATCATGACAATTATTTTTATCATGTTTTTTATGATTTATAAAAAAATGTTTGGTACAGTTGAAAATATTTTTTTTAATCTGTTATTTTTTTTAAATAGTTGAAAAAAAACCAATAAAATATTTTAGACTCAATTTATATATTTATTCACAAGAAGGGTCTACAACAATTCTTTTTACATTACATAACAAACCATTCATATAATGCTTCAAAGAATTTTTATAACGATAATTTGTGTTGTAGAGTGTAGCTGTTATTCTAATTTAAAACATACCAGTGATAATTGATTAATTAATGATGATATTTATGCTACTGTAAACAGTTTTGATGCCAATTAAAGTATATATTATTGCTGTGTGTTAATGTTGCGTTCACTCATTAGCCAGGAGATAACATCCAGCAAATTTTGCACTCTTGTCGCCCTAAGATTTTAGATAAATAGCAGAAACAACAATTTTTCAATAGATCTTGAGAATGCCTTAANCAAACACACACACACATAATCTCTCCCCCACAAAAAATAAGCATTATTGTATGAATTTTCCCAAAGTAAAGATGTCTTCGTTTGTGATCTGTTTCAAATAAAAAGTGTGATATTGCAGGAAAAGAAGTTAAAGGGGGGTAACTCTTTTGAATTTGAAATTAATATCAGTTTTTAAACAGAACAGTTTTTGGGTTTAAGATTCAATATGCCTGGACAAAAAAAAACAATTTTTAATATGTGAATGTACCTAAGAAAGAATATAGAATTGATCATGCAATTAATAATGTAGTCAGTGTTATGAGGAACCACCCCTCCCCATAAGACAGATAGATATTGTCTTTTAGTCAGATTTGACTGACAGTAGATAGGATATAGACAGGTGGTAGCTATACACAGGTACTCTCTAAGGCAGGTATGACTGTTTTATACAATTGGTCTCTGAAGCATGTTTGGGTGTTTTTGGACAATCTGGTACTCTCTAAGGCTGGTTTGTTAATTTAGGGATTTTAGTTTGTACATGTTTGTGCATTGGTTGTGATTATGTTGCATTGTCTTCTGGACTGATAAAACCCAATCTTGCTCAGTTACAGGTTATAGATTGTAATGGCCTGTAGTTTAAAGACAGGTATATATATCTATAGACATTAGACACATGTACACTCTAAGGAAGATTGGGCTGTACAAAGCTGTAATGATAAAATAGAATATATTGGTACAGTAATAAATTTACAAACACATGCCACTTTTACAAGCATGCAAACATAAAGATACACACCAAACATGGAAACAGGACCCCAGACCCATCACCTACCTGTAGCAGAGAATGAGCCTCTGAATAAAACATGACTTATTTATCGATACGATGCCATTATTTTCAGACAATTTGAATTAGCAGCACAAGTCTCCCGGACCACTATCAGGTAGAAAATCTGCTGCCACCACAACTCGTTTGTAGTGTCTGAAGTTGTAGCTTTATAAGTGTGATACAAGGGAGAATTTGTACCCAGAATAATTAATTATTTCACCCACCTCTAGCCCAATGTAAAACACCCATGTGGGATTAATAGAATCTCACCCCCTTGGGGTGAGATAAGGTATTCTCAACCCGAGGGTTGAGATTAATAGAATCTCTCACCCCCTTGGGAGTGAGATAGGGGAATCTCAACAGGAGGGGGGAGATTCTTATGTTGCGAAACATGAGGCTTTGCTGAGTGTTTGGCAACATAGGGGAATCATCCCGAGGGTTGAGATTCCCCTATCTCAGCCCCAAGGGGGGGAATGATTCTTTTTCTCTTACCCTGTTCTCACAATGTGTATCATATACAGAATGTAATGATAACGTTACATGCTAAATTCAGGGTTGACGTGACGTTGATGGATTGTTGACGTGACGTCATTGTATTGTTGAAGTGACGTCATACCATTGTTATGAATAGGGGAATCCCCCCCCCCCATCCCCCCGTCCCAAGTAGATGTACCCAGTGAGCCCAAGTCAGGAACTACATTTTAACTCTAAATCTTGACCAAGGAGTGCATACTGCATACAAATGTTAGCATTCAAAATGTTCAGTACCATTTTGTCTGATATTCTGAATTGTGACCCCATTTCAATATGATACATGACGCTATTTAATTGACATTTTGGACTGAAGAAGAATATCTATCCCCAAAACACAGTCAACATCTGATATTGTCTTGCTGAAATGATAAATGGACATATATATAATAACTTGCATTGCTTGAAAATAATGACATTTTAGCAAATTTTGGAATAATTCATTTGCAGAGTAATTGACTTTCTTTTATGAGACTTACTGATGACAATGTTTTGTCTTATTAAGAAGACAATACAAATCCTGTATCAAAAAAACGATGTTGACCTAACTATACTTTGGATAAAAGAACACTGCCAGAATTAACTTGATTCTCAATGAATGAACGAGTGAACATGATCATAATTGGAATTTTTTGTGCTTTGCACTCAACGAAGAATCTAATAAAATATTAATCAGCCATTTGGCAAGCAGTGGGACTCGGTGCTGGTGTGGGGCAGTCGATCAGGCGTATACCTACCACGGCCCGCTCATTGACGGGGTGATTGTCTATACCTGGACTGCTGGTGTGCGGCAGTCAATCAGGCGTATACCTACCACGGCCCGCTCATTGACGTGGTGATTGTCTATACCTGGACTGCTGGTGTGGGGCAGTCGATCAGGCGTATATATACACCTACCATGGCCCGCTCATTGATGGGGTGATTGTCTATACCTGGACTTCTGGGAATTGGGGGCATGGGAGGTAACTCTGCCATTTCATCAATATGAATACATTATATAAATATGACATTTATGAGCAGGTGACAGTGAATATTGTCAACCCGAGAAAACCATTGTCACCCAAGGCGAAGCCGAGGGTGACAATGGGTTTTTGAGGGTTGACAATTTTCACTGTCCCCTGCTGATGAATGTCATATCTATTTTGTTACACCAAAGTCTTTGTAGCTCAGAAACGGCAGAAAACCTCGATAATGACATCTTGTTTGTTGATAGTCTGCTGTTTACTATCGCTATCGCACCGGCACTTGCTAAAATTGGCTGTTGCCGTCAAACGTTCTTGTGACCATCACGGTGGGGAAACGAAGCGGTGAACACAAATTTTTCGCCCATGTGATATTTTTCACTGTCTC